TTCCAATAATATACCAAGTGCTGTTTTAGACAAGAACATAAAAAATTGTGAAAGGAAATTTAGTAATGGGTACCTGGATACATGGTTGCCTACACAAGGGTTAACGCGATGAATTTATCTCGTGACATAATGCATATAACTAACATAAATCTAAGTAATGTATTCGTTAAATTTTCATTACAATCTCAGATAAAAAAATAACAAAAAATGACCATTACTATTTTCTTCGTGATTCCGACCAATTGCAACTTTTTCAACATTTTGTTAACACATCATTTAGTACACTAATCCTTCTACCTTCACAAAGAAACTCAAGTCACTTGGTCCAATTTCGAAAGAGTTGTTCTGTTTTAATGGGTGTACGAATACTTTTTTGAACCACTGTAAATGCTTCTTAATACGTTGAGTCGTTTTTGCTCTCAAATGATAGACATATACATATATACATTATTCTTCGAAATGATCGAACACCAACAATCAAATCATCATCGTAAAATCGTAATCCCTCCAGAAATCCATCAGTCGTTCTCAAGATTAATTGACAGTGAATTAATCCACTGGAGTCTCGAATTTCTACTGCCCGTATCACGTTAATCCGTATGATAACCGACACGACGACGTGCGATTAACGCAATTAATCATTCGCTGTATTCGTCTATACACATAAAAGGCACAGATAGTCCTCTGAATCAGTCTGACCACAATCCGCAGTCACGTTTTTGCCACGATCTGACTGGAGATCCCGTGATTCATACACGAGCATTCGTAAATCGTGTGTCGAATGACTCGCCAGACCGGAAGTGGTACAACGTCAACTGAATGGGTGGCTTCGCTAAGAAGATTGTTTTAGTGACGCGATTGCAGTTATCCGATACGCACCCCCTCCCCCCTGAATATTTTTGCACGACCCCAGAAATTCGACACGTGTTTGCCACTAAAGATTACGAAGGTCAACAAAGATCGTCTTCGGTGAATCAATCGGGTCCAAGCGATAAACGAATTATTTGCATGGTTTGCCAGAACGTCATGGTCGTGAACAATAATTACGCACAGATAAGGATGCAGCATAAACAGATAAAAATAACTAACTAATTATTTTAGTATTGTCATAGAACTTCCGTGGAATGTACATTAAACATAATGTATTTTTATGTTACCATTTATCTCTAGAACTATCAAACCTGTAAAAATGACAGATTACAGATTTCTTATTTTACGACTAATGAAATTATAATAGTTGCACTTGCCCCCCCCCCCCTGGACGGAAAAAAGTAGGTTTTGCACTACTTTAGAAGAAAAAAAGTGGGCCTTGCCCCCCGTTACATTCCCCCCTGACTGATAACCTGGCTACGCCAATGTCTGTGTTTCAGCTTACAATTTATTCAACGTTGAATTTCTTTTCCGATATGTAGTACGATCATAACCCCTTAATTAGTTAGTTACAAAGGAAAATGTCTGTGTTTCTCGGTAGAAGACAGACATGTTTGATTCTTGAAAGAAATGAGTACTCTTGTTCCTGCTCTGTCCCCGATAACGGTACAGGTATAACCTCAGGTATATAAGGTAAAGGTAAGGCTCAGCTGAGGTTACCTCACCATAAACAGAGGTGTGGCTCCCACGGTCAAGAAAAGGTACCATGTAACAGTAAATAAGCGACACTTATAACTGAGAACTGACCAAACCCAAAGTGGGGATTCTCTAAATCAACTTCCCCTTTTCATCAGCTCTCTGAAAATTATGGGAATTCCGAAAGACGGTCCAAAGTCTCACCATACTAATGGTAAAATCCACAAAAGGACGTTTCCATTAATGGCCAATCGGAGTTTGCTACCTCCTAGACATCGTCATTGTGGATTGAATACAAATTCAACTCCTTCGAAATCGCTTCCTACGTCCGTTCCCCTTGCGATTTCTTCGCGATCACGTGAAATCTGCTCGTCACTCGTGGAATATAAACAAAGAGAACGGCAGACAGAGGAGCGTTGTCTTTGCGGATATTCGTTCATGGCTTCTCGCGGCGGACAAAGAAATGTGTCGGGTGCTCTTTGAAATTCGCTTCATACTGATAGCTCGTCATCTCTTCCTATGTTTCCAGGCCCCGGTCTAAAAAATTCTTCGATCCTACGTGACCCAGCCAGTTCGTCGTGTTCCGTTTCTGTGTGGGTGAACACAGTTGTCGACGCTAACTGCCCACATGTTTGCTCCACGATACTTGTCCCTGAGAGCGGTATCGCTCTTCGTGGACACGGGAATATTGAACGTAATTTATTAACGCGTAAAAATTACTCGGTTGATCCAGTGCCGGATCCAGAGAGGGGCTATAGGCCTGGGGCCCATTTTCCAGAGCTCCCTCGATCTAACAAGTTTATGTCAAAAAGTAATTGAATGAAATTTTGTAGAAAAAAATCGGATGAAAATTGTTAAAATATAACAAAGCATTGTTATATTCGTATTATATTGTTTTATCTTATTTCAATGTTATATAGTTTATTTTTATTTAGGATAAATTTCAATTTTTTAAGATTTATGTATTTTACCCCCCCCCCCATCTTTGAAGCAAGGGGGCTCTTGAAGGTTATAGTCCTGGGCAACAAAATATTTTAATACGGGTCTGGGTCGATCGTTTCAAAATGGACTTATCGTGGCGCCTTTGAATTACTGGGGGAGAAGTAACGTTTAGTTTCGAATTACTGTAGCAAAACTTGGAGAGACTTGGGTTGAATAGACGTTACTTTTCGAGTATATGATCGGTGATAAATAGGATAATGCATTTATGTATAATTTCGGTCAGTTACGGTCTTTGGAGATTTTTAACATGTAGATTCTGAATGTTTACGCTGATACAGATTTTGTGGTGTCTGTTTTACAGAAACCAGGTATCAAATAGACATTCCTTCACTCTATTGAGGATTCTATAAAATACTGAAAACTTATAAAACTTCACGAACAATCGTACACGTTATAAATCGCATAAAATACGCAGTCTATTTATGTGCTACATGTGCATAAGAATTACCAATAATATCTTTGTTAAGCTAGATGGACGAGGAATAAATCGTTGTTTTTACGTCTGATCCCAAGTATGACGGATCGCCTTCCACTTTAGTATCCGTTTTTGCAAGTTAAGCGTGTCACGAGTTAAATTTACGCCTGACCTTTCCGTGTGCTTTCTTGTCGGTCGAGTTTGAATCGTTACTGAACGTGTTACACTAATTTTTATGTTTCTGATAAAGCTCTCCCATCTTGTTGATTCGAGGCGCCATAGCTTTAGCATTCTTGTACAACTACATATGCTGCGCCAGTAAGTAACCCCACTATGATCTGTATCGTTTCATTTATATATACAATAATTTTCAATATCACCATGGAAGATCCTGAAGACATTTAAAATATACCAACTCATTATTAAAAGTAGCTGCAGATCACTTATTTTTATGTATTTTTCCCTGCGTAGGTCGTGGGAATTTATCGATTTCCGACAGAAAAACACGAACATAGTCTCCGTTAATTATATGCAGATCTTAAGATCAATTACCAGCACATAATTATACAATCAGGAAAAGACGGGAACGTCAGTGTATTATATAAAGTCGACGTGAATGTAAGTGCATGTGAAAACGCAATGATAAGAACGATACAGGATATTACGAACGACAATATTTTCTATCGATCGTGTACATTTATTTTACGAAATACACACGGAATTTCGGTGTTCGAAGTTGTATAAGATCGTCGAAGGAGCGGGGGGTAATGGCGGGTGGTCGCCATCTTGGGAGTAGCGGGGCGGCGCGAAATGTTACAATTACGAACGATTCGAATTACATAATTTTCCGTTTCTTCCGGCTTGCAGCCCGTGGGACAGATTTCAGTCGTCTTTGTGGCGCTATGTTAAACTTTCTATTCGTCAAATTGAAGACGACGATCCGCGGAAGTGGTAATCATCGTACAGGTGTGTGTGTGTGTGCTCCCGTATGCAATTTTTTCCCGGGCTGTGCCGCGTGTGCTTGAGACTTGAAACGCGTAATACTAGCTCGCCGACTGTTCGCCAGTGTGTCCCGTTCGAGTTTAAACGACAATCGTTTAACGACCTCTAAAAAAGCATTTGTATCGTCTCTTAAAACATTTTTTTACCGTCGGTTAATTCGTAATAATATTTCGAAGTGTAAACGTATTGCCCGTACGAAGGATCATCTTCGGAATAACGAAGAAACCGTTCCTTCTTTGTGCGATTCGAATGTGTACAGACGTTTCACGTGATTCATCGTCCAACGATTCTTTTTCTCTCGATAATACACCTATTGTAAACTCACTGCCTTTCTCCTCTAACGAACATGCAGACTTCCCCTTAATTTGTGAAATACGGTAAACTGGTTCGTTGCGCGCCGATCGATCGGTTCAGAGTCTAAAGTTTGCGAGATTTTACCTCGAGGAAACGATGCGATTCCGTAATATTACGAGGAATTCCGTGTAATTTCTGGATGTATCACCTTCGAAGCGCCTTTGTCCCGCGCGGTGGCTGTATTTAATGAGTCGTATGACAATGCGGGCAACGATTTGTTTTCCAGAAACATGCCGATCACTTCGAGTTAACGCACCCAGCGAGGAGGAATCGTCGGTTCGTTCGACGTGATCATCGAAGGATCTCAAAGAAATGTGATACACGCGCGAGTACACGTTGTGTTGCTCGTTATCTCGATAGTGTATTAGCCAAGGATGGCTTTGACGATCTGGTTGATAGCTGCGGTTGCAGCTCTGTGCACCACACATGCCCTCGAGGGGCCAAACATATGTACCAGGCTAGACACGTGAGTACCGATACGATTCAAAATTAACCTTTTCCTTTCCACTGTTGCCACATATGGCTACGTATCCTAAATTACGAATTAACCCTTTAACACCCAGTCACACGTTTTCAGTTGAGAAATTAAGTTAGTTGAGAAGTACATTCCACGTTGAGAAACACTTACCTAGTAGTTTGGATTATTGTGAATCGTCTTTGGATTATTTTGACTCGTCTTTGAATTATTTTGACTCGTCTTTGGATTATTTTGACTCGTCCTTTGGATTATCGTGACTCATCTTTGTATTATCGTGATTAGTCTTTGGATTATTTTTAATGTCTTAAGTTTAATGACCCCCGATTTTAACATTCTGTCGGTGTTAGGTACAAGGTGACGGTGAGGATATCGGAGCAGAAGCCTTACACGGTGCGGGAGAACACTTGGTGCTTCAGCTTCCCGCCAAGGTGCTCCAAGTACAAAGTCGTGTTCAAGACAGTTTACAAAGAGCAGGTGAGCGAATATAGAAAGCTAACGTAATGTCACGTAAATCTGAGCTCGATATACTATCTCTGAATGTGACTCGGTTCAGGAGCTAACGAAGCAAAGGCCGGTCGAAGAGTGCTGTAAAGGCTACACGCAGACAAACACCGGTGATCGTTGCATTCCCGTTTGCTCCAAGGACTGCGTTTATGGCACTTGCATCGCGCCAGACGTCTGCAAGTGCGAATCTGGATACGGAGGCCCGATATGTGATTTCAGTGAGTATTTGTTCGTTATCGGGGAACCGAGTTTCTTCTGGAAGTAAGCCAAATTTCTAGAGAACTGATAATACGTGGATGATCTGATTTATTAATAAAATATCAAAGTCAATTGGAAATGAAGGGGAACAAGATGAAGTGAACTTTGTCAACGCTTTCGAAATACGCTTCTTGGGCTGAGAAATCGTTAAAAACCACATTATGTTTCAAGACTGAGAAAAGATTCTACTTCTTTGATATTATTAAGTTTTTCAAATGGTGATAAAAGAGTCAGCCAAGATCCAGAGACACCTTGTATAAACGAGAATTTAAATATTCACTTTTTTAAATTCGTTTCAATTTCATAATATTGTACATGCATACTTGATAAGCGGATAGAACTGGTATTTATAGCGAAGTAAAAGTATGAACTGCATTGCTCAATGTTCTACAAGGTGTCTCGGAAATAACGAACTGGTTGGAGAGTAAGAAAGTTAAAGGATATTCACGATTTTTCTTTTCTTGACATTTTCTTCTTAGAAAATCAATGTATTCGAAGGATTTGTGTTTCGACAGAGTGTCCATCCGGGAAATGGGGTAAATCCTGCCAGTATGAGTGCATGTGTCAGAATGATGCCACTTGTGATCCATTCGACGGCAAGTGTATGTGCACCAGAGGTTGGACTGGTAAATATTGCGGCGAAAAGTGTTCACCCGACCGTTATGGCCAGGATTGCGGTGAACAGTGTCGCTGTAGAAACGGTGGAAGCTGTCATCACATTTCTGGGGAGTGTCATTGCGCTCCTGGTTACACAGGACCTCTGTAAGTTCCATTTTATCCAGGGCCGTTCCTGGATTGTTGGCCACCTGGGTGCAAAAACAATATGGCCGCCATTATTAATTTAATATTTATTTTTATAGTTGATAATATTAACTATTAATAACCTATACTCTTGTACACTAGTTTTCCAAATATTATATATAAAATTAATTTGATTGTTATTCTTATTAGTCGAAATTTTATACCTTTTTGCATCCCCGCCAGGAACGGGCCTGATTTTATCTATTATGCTTACACAGAAATCGGAGGTATAGTGTTGAATTTTCTATATGAATAACTGCTTTCATTTAGCTGCGACGATCTGTGCCCACCTGGGAAGCATGGGGACGAGTGTAAGTCAGAGTGCAAATGTCAAAATGGTGGCTCTTGCAATCCCACGACTGGAGAATGTTACTGCACCACTGGCTGGACTGTGAGTAACATGTTAAAAAGGACGTTTTCTTTCTTTTTCTTTGTATTACATTCAGTAACTTGGGATCTTTGTTCGTCACAACAGGGTTCAGTATGCGCAAACAGGTGTCCAGAAGGTTTTTGGGGGAAAAAGTGCTCTCAGTCGTGTGACTGTTACAACGAAGCTGGCTGCCATCATATCACAGGAGAATGCGAATGTAAACCTGGCTACTATGGCGACAAGGTGAATATTTCACGATGTAGTTGTTCCAGCTGTTAACACAGTTGTTAAGATTGGATCGCTGGAATCTCAGGTGTTCTCTGGGATTCTTAATATTGATTACTTACAAATGTCAATTTCTGTACAGTGCTTGAAAATATGCGCTGAAGGGAAGTTTGGTTTGAATTGCACCGATAATTGCACCTGCGAAAACGATGCATTATGCTCTGCAGTTGACGGTTCTTGCACATGTAGGCCCGGGTGGACTGGTGAGAAGTGCGAGAAACGGGTCTGCGAGGACGGATATTATGGTCCCAATTGTTCGAAAGTAAATGCGCGTTCTGGATATAATTTTACTACGCTCCCTAAAGTTTTATCTTCTTTATATCGAGTAACGTTTGAATAATTGTCAAGGTTTGCGAATGCGAAGGCGACAACACGGAACTCTGTCATCCGTGGACTGGAAAATGCATTTGCAAAGCGGGATGGGATGGCGACACCTGTGCCAGGCCGTGTCCATTTTACACCTACGGCAAGGGCTGCCAGAATCATTGCGACTGCAAGAATAACGCACAATGCTCACCTATAAATGGAACCTGTATTTGCGCGGCTGGATACAGAGGTGAGGATTGTAACGAAATATGTCCTGACAACACTTACGGGGAGAACTGTGGACAGAAATGTGTCTGCAAGAACGGCGCCACTTGCTCACCTGAGAATGGACGGTGCAACTGTACAGCAGGTAAGAAACTATACTTGTGCACCATTAAGGAAATGAAAGATAACATTTAAAACAGTTTATAATTAAAAGATGTAGCGATTAATTTCGTGTATTACATCTTGCATACTCTAATACCATGCCCAGAGCTGATAAGCGTGGTACCCTCGACACAATGAGCATCTTGCGATCGTACTACTTAAATGTCATTTGTTTGGATTTTATTAACATGCACTGTTGGTCAGAAGTTTAGGATCACGTATTCGACAATACGTAAATTAACATTGCTATGTTTGATGTTAGTGCATATTGCTAGAGGAAAATAATAATACCTACTAACAACATGAAGCTATGAAGGCTGTAGGTGATCCTAACTTTTAAACAGTACCATATTTAGTTATTGTACGATCGTGAATTGCATGAGAAACTAATTGTAGTATTTGTTAGCTTGTTACTTGAAAATTTGTAGATTTTTGCACACTATATGCAATTATAAGTTAATTAGAGGATTGCTATGGAAACGATTGTATGAAAGGTAAGTAGAGGGCAGGTGTACCCAACGAAGTATTCCGGTTAAGAAATTAGTATTATTAAAAATAAAGAAATTTCGTTCTTGCATGTATTGTTATTACGTTTTGTTAGGATGGGTTGGTGTATCTTGTGACCGTCCCTGCGACAACAAATCGTTTGGCAAGGACTGCGAGAGCAAATGCAAATGCTTTAACAATGCCGCGTGCAATCCGCAAAATGGTAAGGGGGCCGGCTGCAACGACTTTGTTTCATTATATGATTGGAAGTTAATGTTTTCCGATTCTTAACTATTTAGAAAACATTAACTGATTATTAGCTACATTTATGTTAATGCACAGTATATCAAAATTAACATGACCACGCAAAAGTATTCACGATCCAGAAAAATGTCCAAAAAATCTGCAATTTGAGTAGCCATTTTTTTTTCCTTAGAATATTCTTCTCGTGCTGTTTGATATACTTTGTGTCTTTATTCAATTTATATCTTCAACAATCTCACTTTTCTTGATCTCTTTTCTATCAATCTCGTTGCACCTGCACCGAAAACCCATCACTTTTGTTTTTTAAATACACAGGCACATGCACGTGTGCAGCTGGTTTCACCGGCGAACTTTGCCAGGATCGTTGCAAAAATGGATTCTTTGGGCACGGATGTACTCAGGTCTGTGATTGTCACGACGAGAATAGCTTAGACTGCGAACCTGCTACAGGTCGTTGCATCTGCAAGCCAGAGTGGCGAGGTTTGTCTTCTTTTTCATTCTTCTCGTCGATCAGTCGCCATACATAAAAATTGCTATACCCTTTTCCATCCTTCTTAATAGTTCTAATCCCACTGACATTCATCGACTCACATATTTCATGTAGTGTATAGAGCAGTTTCACAACTACGTTTTCCTGTCTGTCTGCACTATCTTCCGCTGTATATTATACACTTGATTCACAAAGTTGTAAATATATTTTCGCAAAAACGATGAAGAATTACAACAATACGAAAGACTGGAAGGCGTTGTTTGATGGCGATTTGATCGTCGAGCAAGGTTCTCATGATTAATAATATAAAAACAGGAATCCGTTGTGAGACAAAATGTCCAGAAGGTCTCTATGGCGAAGACTGTCATTCACAGTGCGAATGCATGAATAATAGTTCATGCGATCCGGAAACAGGCATTTGTATTTGCGCTAGAGGCTGGGAAGGCCCTAATTGTTCTCAACCTTGCAAAGAAGGCTGGTATGGTGTCCGTTGCAACGAAAAGTGTCCAGAGAAAATGCAGGGTAAGAATTCAAGCAATCAATTCTAAAAGGAAAGTGAAACACATTGAGTTCCCGCTAGTTCTACCGGGGAATATCCGTTACGGTACTACACACATATGTCTAATACTTTGGGATCATAATTGTAAGCATGAAACATGGTCTCTTAAACGTTAGATTATATTACAGATTGTGCACTGTAGTTAGAAAAGTATTAACTCATATAGTTTTTGTTTGGAGTTTACTTGTGCATGCATACAAATAACTTGCACAATTTCTTTGACATTCTACGATAGCAAAACAATGTAGTGAAATAATACTTTAACTACCGATAAAACAGACAAAAGGTAGCTAATTGCTCGCTAATGCTATAAAACTTCATTAAAGGGGTAAGTCTTTTAATATGCGTTATTCGACTGGATCTTTATGTGCTTAAAACATTGAAGAAATAAGATTTTTCATAAACAACTTTTGAAAGAAGACTTTTCATAAATAATCACAAATACTAAAGTGATGACACAGAAATTAAATGCTTCGAAAAGCGTAATATTTGTTTGTTTTATATGTGATTCGTTTAGGTAACATGACCTGCGACCACGTCACCGGGGAATACGTTTGTCGACCGGGATATTTGGGCTTAACCTGTGAGCATCCTTGTCCTCCTAATCGTTACGGTGTAAATTGCGCCAATCATTGTCGTTGCAAAAATGGCGGGGAATGCCACCATGTGACAGGTAAAGCTCGATATTTATATTCCTATAATTTTGTTTTATACTGAATATTATCGGTTCAGGTGTGTGCCAGTGTCGTCCTGGCTGGCATGGAGAGCATTGTCAAACACCCTGTCCAGAAGGAACATACGGCATCAATTGCACTCAACATTGTACATGTCAAAATGGCGGGAAGTGCAGATCTAACGATGGTCATTGTCGTTGTACTCCTGGCTGGATTGGTACTAAATGTAACGAGAGTAAGTGGGACCACATTTTTAGCGAAGTAATTTGAGGATAAAATGATGAAAGCGTTCAATATCGTTATGTTTTTGAATAGTCTGCCCAGAAGGATATTACGGCGATCACTGCATGAAACCCTGCGAATGCAAGAGTGACTTCTACTCATGTCAGCCTATTAAAGGTTGCAGTTGCAAACATGGATATGGGGGTAAATACTTTATTGAAAATCCACCGTATAGTAATTGTCTAATTACAAAGAAATTAGTACCAGTGTTTCGTTCACGCGTTGTCCAATGTAACTTATATTTCTCAGGTGAAAATTGCGAAGAGGAGTTATTTTCACGTAACATTCAACAGAAAGAAGAAACCGGATATGGCAGTATAGTTGCAGGATTTTTGTTCGCTGCGGTGGTTGTTATCGCCATGACATTGGCGGGTTGGGTATATCATCGGCGCAGAGTAAGAGATCTGAAGAATGAAATTGCTCAAGTGCAATATATTGCTGAGCCACCGTCTCCGCCGGGTATAGTATTTTTAAATATACCCTTCAGTTAATATTTGTGAGTTCTCACGACCCATGATTATATTTTCTACAGAGCAAACACAGTTCGACAATCCTGTGTATGCGTATCAGGGTTCCTCCAAATTCGATGATGGTACCACTACTTTGTTGAACAATTTCCAATTTAGAAATAATCTTGGAACGAGCAAGAAAATAAACAACGAGAAGGTCCTGTTCGGTATGAACGGCTGCATAGACGAAGACGATGATTGTAAAGGTAAATATTCCGAATGAAGTTGTATCCCTTGTAGATGTAAATGAAATTATGCTTAGATCCGCTTACGTTTATCAATCTTACGTAGGAACGTACAATCGGTACGATCTCAAGAATAGAGATGCGGACATGGGAAATCCGAATCTCAATGTGTACCACACTATTGATGAAATGGACGGGAAAAAGGTTGAACATGTTTACGATGAAATAAAACAGAATAACGATGAATCCGAATACGATCAGTTAGAGAACCCAAGAGCAGTTAGCACTTACAAACAGTACAATAGAATGCCTAATGATTCTTCTTCAAGTTCATCCGACAATGCAGGACCCAGCAAAACGAAGGAAAAGGATCCAGAATTGGGTGAAACTTAAACATTCTTTTATCATTTGTGAATGCAGGTCAAGTTATATGTTTCTATCTTGCAAGTATATGTGTCGTCAATATGATTTCAAGAAGCAAGTGAAACGCTTCTGATCATTAGAACATCAATGCTTTTCACTTCTCGTATCCGGAACAGTCCATGTGAGCTGTTACGCGTGAGTTCCGTGGAAACATTTCGCAAATCTCAACCCACTTTCCTTGTAGAAGAATACAGATGTACTCTAATTGCTCAGTATGTGCATGTATGTACATAGTCGGATAATACGAAGTGAATGGATACATGATTATTTTATTTATAAAGTCCATATACTCATAGTAATCGTTCATCTTTAGCGGTTCGGACAGTCTTTTTGTCATGCGATATTTAGTGATACGATGCAATATTATTCCATTAAATGGATAGTAGGTATACGTTACATAAGTACACTGAGATCGGCCTTTTAACAATTTATTTGAAAAAAGAAGAAAAAGATGTGTTATTATAATTACGTAGATTATCTATGTTTGAGAGCGAAGATGAAAAGGTAATTTACATAAACAAAATGTTTATAAAAGTTATACAAAAGTTTATTACTTAGAATGGCAAGTTTTAATGGGAGGAGGGGAGTGCCTTGCAGGTTTCGGGTGATACGTGTTCTGAAATTGGATGTAATTATCTCATAATTTTTACGTTCTTATCACAGTTTAGAATACTCATCAGTAAAGCTAAGAGCAATTTTTATGCATCACACTAAAACATTTACGAAGACATGTTTGTTGCAGTTATTTCGCAATTACGATACAGAATCATATCACGAGAGTCTATTTAAAATTAATGAGAAACCAATTTCGCAGTTCTGAAACTTCGTACGATATACCGATATTAAAATGTCATATCTATCCCTTTGTACAATACATTTCATTCAGTCTTAAAAACGTCATGCATTATTTATACACATTCACCATGAATGAAGTGATAAGAGTGTTAATATTTTGAGAACAATTTATTCCGCATATACACAATATATTTGTAAGGAGTCAGAAGAAATACATGTACAATTAAGGTAGTACCATATCATTACACATGAAAAATTATATGTATATTCTATTCGTGTATATGTACATATACGTTAGAAATCAATAGAAATTATTCGAGATACTATTGTAAAATGCAATAATATTTATTTCTTTTACATTAGACAATATTCGATGCATATTTTTTTAATTTCTAAGACATATCTGTTTTTACGACTTTATTACTATTTTTTATTTTTAGATGGATCTGTGGAAATAGATTATTGTGATAGATATATAAATACTTGTAAATACCGTTAAATTAAGGTATATATTGTAAAGTCCATGTTTTTAGCAATACTGTGGCTGTAGAATTTTGTGTGTGAATTACGTCGTGTCCCCGCTCGTTCTGTTCGACGTATGAGATGATCTGTATTGCCTGGTTTTCAAGAAACTCAAAACAGGCGACGAGAGCCAATAAACTCCACCGAAATATAACAAGAGCGACGTAATGTTCAGGCAGAAATTTACATCTGTAATCAGAAATTATTTTTATTCACCCTTCAGACTGTAACTCGATCCTTTGTACAGCTCTTTTACAAAATAAAGTTTTGTTACAACGACATACCGTGTATAAAACTGAAGATCAGTATAGACAGACCGACGATAGTTGAGAATCCCTTGTTAACTGAACGCATCATTTGAGAACCAAGAACATCATACAAAGCTAAATCCTGACAGCTTGACAAACTGCCAATACTGACACCACCTAACAGGGCCAATATCATAATGCCCGTATAATTTCCAACATATGTTAAACCTGAAAATGAGGAAGGTTCATCTGTACAATTGACACGTAAGAAACAGTTTCTTCATAAATACAGAAGCACACTGAAAGAAGTCACATACCTGTTAAAGTAATTGCACAAAGCCAAGCTGCTAGTCCAAAGTATATCCTTCTGTTGTGATTTGTCATTTTCAACACTTTGTAACTGGCAAGATTTGGTAACAAAGTGCCAAAACCGGCCATGGTGCACAGTGGTATGTACATGGAATAGCTTCTTGTGACCCCGAACGATAAAACGGGTAACAAAATCCAAAAGAAAAGAATAGACGTTTTCACTCCTACACTTCCCATCATAGCAGCCCAAAACCGGAAGTTTTTAAGGGGGCGAATTTGTTGCTTCCACGGGCTGTCTGAGTGAACAGCTGGATTCTCAAATAGATCTACGTCCTCATCTAGCTCTTCGTAAGCATACATATTACTTCCTTCACTGAACAATCCTCCCTCTTGTGTTCTCTCTTCAGCGTCATCATATTCCAGATTCTCTGACTCGTGCTGACCACCTGCATGTTGGGTACTCCCAGGAACATCCGGAGAGATTCTTATCGGGAGTTCGTTGTCCTCTTCAGTTAAAAGGAGACTGTGAGTTGTTGTTTTTTTTGTAAATTTAATTATTGCTTAATTTTACTTCAAATAATCGAATATACAGGGTGTTCAGTTTAACAGTCCGTACAATTTTCTTTATTACATCGTCGCAAATGACTGAAAAATATTGAGTACCGTTAGAGTGAACACCTTGTATACCAAGGTTCTGATTGTTGTAAATATATATTGTTTGTTAAAAGTACCTGTAAGGCAAAGTTCGTTGCGGAGAAGGCAAGCGGAAAGTTGAAGTGCCAAGAACTGCAGGTACAAGTATCAGGGTCATCAGTAGTAGGCCAGTTTTTAAGTCAGTCTTGTGCAACAGCAAACCCGTGATATTCGGAATTAGTATGAGACCGACGGACGTTGCAATGTTTCTCAGTGTTAAAGCTAAGAGCAACTTCTTTCTGAAGTTCTTCCGTAAAACGTAATCACTTAGTAGGACCACAAAGCTGGCGCCTATACCCATTACTGCACCTGCGCTTGAACTAGCTAAATATGCACCAACTCCGCCAGTCGCGAGATAGCCAGTTGCTATGATCCCAACTGCCAAAAGAATTACTCCTATTATGCCAACTAGGCGTGGCGTTGATGCCATGTTCACGATCATTTTTGTCCAGGGATCTGAAAGATTTCATCTATGAGCGTTCAAAATTTTAACAGTAGTTTATTTCTAGTATTTAATGCCTCTACCAGCTAAGTTCCAAAAAGCTGTGAAGATTATGGGCGCAAGGATAATTTTCTCGCTCCATATATCCACGTCACTGTCTTTGCTTTCATTTATGTATCCTAATATCACTCCATACATAGACAATATACTAGGAATGGTCATCTGGGAAAATAACATTTAAGTGACGTTTGAATTAATTTAAACAACTGATTAGTTAAACGATTCATATAACGCAAGGTGTTATACATATACAGGGTGTTTAGAAATACTTGGTCAAACATCAAAGATTCTATACTCACCTAGTCCTTTGTATCAAAGGGAGAATAATTGCCTATGTTCATGAAAAACATGTGGCACCTCATAATACCTGAAAAAAATTATTTTATATTTCCATTATAAGATTGACTTCATACAATTGTTTCTTCAACCACTAGTTGTGCATACTTTGTTATATGTGTAAATTGAGGGAAGTAATACTTTAAATTTATCATTAAGTGGAAGTGTACTGTAAAATACATTTTATCACGAAGCGGACAATTTCTGAGTGCCAATGTTCTAAATACCCTGTATAAATAACTCCCAGAACTGAATCTACCGAATTATTTAACTCTTTGAGAGCGGCATGTTGATTTCAGAACAAAATAGAAAATTATTTAAAAACGTTTATTGCGTTTACTCGAAACATTCGATCTCAAAGAATCAAGAAATCATCTAGTTATCTGTACTAACATTTTTATTTATCTTTTTAGGCATACCTGGACCAGAAGCACTCCACAAAGGACAATCCATGAATAACCACCATCTGGGATGGTGGGACCCAATTCTGGGATCGACGCGACGATATCGTCTAGACGAAGACGCCTGGTAACTGACATTCTTTGTATCTTTTTCGCTCTCGTAAAAAAAAAAAATTCGAACTGCAATTCAGAGATGCGCTTGAATCTACAATAACACTTTAGTGCGCCTTGTAAGTATTAAAGCAATCTGAAAGTGTTATCTAATCTCTGGCAAGATGTCAATGGTCTGATAGTCGGTATGATAAGAAATGGTAAATCTTCTAAAAATACGTTTGTATAAACATATATATACCTTTTTGAAATGCCGCTACTATCGACAGGTGCAAGATATATCAATTAGACTATGCATGGTAATATGGGTCAATTGAAAAAAAAGGACATTTCATAACTGGAGTATTATTATTGACAGATACTATGCCAGTGAACTCCCCAAGAATCTATAATACATTTATGGTGTTTTACTAAATGAAAAGAATTATGAATATAAATACAACATTTATTCATCACTTGGCACGTTTAAAACAATTAATAACAGTATCAGAAATACACGCGCCTCTTCTCACATCGTTAATTGCATTAACAAATATAGCATGTTGGAGTTGTAATCAGAAAATTTCAGAAGTATGTTTATACTTCTATATATTATTCAAATGCAAAATTTAAGTACTAAGTCATTATGTATAAATATTATTCTCTCATTACATTCTATAGGTATCAGACTATCAATAATGACATTAAGAAAAATATTTTTACATTTTACAGTAGAAAAAGGGGAACTTTTCTAACAGTCGAGATTATTAAATATAAAATTAACGCTAGTATTCGTTAGTGTTAAATCTTCCCTATTATGTAAAATGGATAAGCACTTTGATTGTTACTCTGATTGTTTAAGGAGTCACAACCAACTTCAAATAACTCCTATTTTACACCATACTATTTCTTATTATATTAGATCTAGAGAGTGGCTAGGCTAGGCCTTCGGCGACATAAAACAATCAGTCGATTTTTGTTTTTAGTCATAGTTAATAAATCGTTCGCTATACGTCTTCGCGCGCGTCACCGGTTGCTATCGAGGTGTATCGAACTCTTTTGTTAACCGAATCCAGTATTGGCTCGATTTTCTTCTGTAGTTTCGTGCGTTGAACGTAAATCAGAGCACATATTAAACCGACCAGAATTAACGAAAGAAAGAATAGTAATATGGTCGCACCCCGCGAAGCGGTTGAAAACAACTTTGCCGCGCAATTCTTCGTCTCGTGAATATTATGCGCCGTTTTACCTGTAAAAGATATACAACAGTAAAATTATTATATTTATATTTTGACAGTAAACTGAAGAAACGATGACAATCGTGCAAAGTACCTTCGTAACACTTCAAGCTATCCTTGTTGCGAATGAACACTTTAGTCTTCTTCATCCACTTAATAAAGGGGTTTAGTTTGCACGAACACTCAAGCGGATTTGCAGTGAAGTCCACCGCTAAGCTTTGATTGTGCTTAACAATTGCATCCATGGCACGGAGATCGTGATCGAGGATTTTGGTAAACTTGTTACGTTGAAGGTCCAAAAAGCGTAGATTGTGAAGACAGGATATGTTAAAGTGTAACGCAGTTAGCGCGTTGTCGCCCAGATAGAGATCCAGAATTCTTGGAAGGTCGCAGAACACGTTAGCGTCTCGGAACTCCGAGATTTCGTTTTGCTCTAGATGCAGCTTCATCAGCTGCTTTAGATTACTGAAAGAAGTATCAAAATTTTATTAGCTAATTGTTGCATCATAACATTTTGCATCCATCCAATGGAATATAGTAGAATATTTAGCAATGTAAGCTACGTCGAATGTGCTTTATGAGATTTAACTAAATCTTTTGCATACCTATTCACAAAAATATCATGCAACGTAGCTGCTAGGTCTCTAGGTGGGCCATCCTCGAAGGCATCGGTCAGATGAAGTTCCAATAAAGAAACAAAATTAGAGAACACTCTGGGATGGTTCCTTCCAGGGTCCAAAGAGAGCTCGTTGAAATCGAGAATAAGGCGCTCGACTCGTTGAACATGATGATACGTCTTTCCTCGGATTTCCCTGATTTTGTTATTCGACATGTCGATCACTCGTAAGTCAGGAAAACTTTCCAATGTGCCAAACACGTTTAAAGGCAGTTCTTCTAAGTAATTTCCCGTGAAAATTAGGACCTATATGATAACATTATGATAACATTTTGTTGACTGAACGGAATTTGAATGAACATTGATAAATATTCACATATTCGGTACTCTTATTCATAACAGAAAATATATAAAAGCTCACATCACTTAATATTATAAAAATATGTATATTATAGTTTCAGACTCTCGAGTTATTTAAGTTTGCATATTGTAAGTAAAAGCATATTTTAAGATAGCCATTCGGTGATTTTGAGCCCCCGGTGTGCTCTGTTCGTACGTGGAAATGACCACCAATTTTTTGAGGAATTACTTTTTCGCATTCAAAATTTTTGTACCTGCGTTTCGTTAGGTAGATGCGACAGTGGTTCCGTGTTACGAAATTCCGAGTTGGTACAATTCACCACATACTGATGACGATTCTCATAGCATGTTCTCATGCAAGTACAACGATTTTGAAAAAACGGTCCACATTCTAATTTGGCTGACTCGAGCGTCTCCAACGAATGCCAATTTGGGTCGCAGTCGATGGGCGGTTGCGCGGTGGAAAAGCAAATTAACAGGAATACTGCGTAAAGTGTCTTCATCGTGTACCTAGAATAATAAAAAATGGAGTGTAACGGATTATTATAAACTTTGAAAAGGAAGAAATTTTCAGAAGTATATTTTTTTTTAAAAGATTAGTAAGTTTCTTTAACTGGTATAATATAGTTATTCGGAAAGGGAAAGAAATTACAAGAGGAAAAATAGAAATTGAAAATGTTACGAACTTTCCGAGCAACATATTATACTGTAGATACTTCGAACAAGGTTTTTAATATTGCCGCGGAAACTATATGTCAGACGAAGCTTTCGATTGGTCGAAGTGATTTTGGCGGTACGAATAGAATTCATAACCACCATGTCGGACATGCAATCGGATCAGTCCTTCGAATTGACAGTGCAAAGTTTGTTTTGAAAGTGCTTTCGTGGTGGATGATTTTTAGGTCGACAAAAAATAATGTTTAATTCATGACGAAGTGTCTAAAAATGAGTTATAATGAGTCTAACTTAACGAGTGTTCTACAGTCAGTGTTTGGTTACGAGAAATTTAAAAATGACGTGCAGAAAGAAGCTACGATTGCTATTAGCAAAGGTTAGTCTTCCTTTGGTATTATATACAACTTCTTTAATCACATTTTACAAACGATTTGTTTAAACGAAAAAAATGTTAGAAAATATACATTTTTTTGATTATGTTAAGCATTATAAAATTGCAGGTGCAAGGTATGTGTGCATATCAATGCCACCCAGATTTGGTAGATCACTTTGTTTTCAATTGCCAGTTGTCTTACAAAAAGGCAAAGTGGCTATTGTTTTTTCTCCGAAATTATCTTTTGTGAAGGTAAAAATTAAATTATTAAATTTGCCAAGCTCATCATTCATTACTCCATTGTATATGATTTGTTACATGTTCTAATGTTTTCAGAATGACATAGATTTTTTAACAAATAAACAGATTCATGCACGCTTATTAAGTCAATCAACGTATATTAATGAACGAAAAGTTATTTTAAGAGACTTAATGTCAAATTGCCCAACAATACAATTATTATATGTTACACCTGAAATGGCTATGATCACATATTTTCAGGTAAATCATTTGTTAATCCATTCATTTCTTTTATTGTAGTGCATTCTTTAATATTTAATGAATCTATGTATATGTTCACAGAAGCTTATACTCTTGTTAAAAAAGCATAAAATTTTATCTTATATTGTATTTAATGATGCGCATTGTTTAAGTGAATGGGGATATGAATATACACCTTCTTATAAAAATATAAATTTGTTTGATAAAATATATGGATATGTTCCTAGGGTTGCAATAACTACCACTGTTACTAATAAGGTAATTAAGATTATTGTTCGTTTAATAATACTATAGTACTTTGATAATTAATATTTAAATAAAAGAAATCAATTGTAAAATATTTTTCATTTGAAAAGAAAACATTAAGGGATTTTGTTTGCCATCTATAAATGTCTTCCAATAGTACTATTAGCTACCAGTTTTAAATATGAAAGGACATAGGAGTACATTATTGGCCCCCACATTTGGTAGGTATTTCGTATTTATTAATAAAAATTCTTTGGTAGGTAATTGAAGATATTTGTCAGTTGTTGACGCTTAGAACACCAAGAATATTTAAAATTCCAGTACAACAAATAAATGTGTACCATGATGTGTGGCTTTTAGATGTTCTTTCAAATCCACTAGAACATCTTAAAAGTTTCATTGTAGAAGTACTTGGTTTCTTAGATCCATCTGTTCACAAGGTAAATCAGTTTGTCCCTTTATAGGAGTGCATGGTACATACTTATAGGAATTATTTATACTTAGACACGTAAAGGCCATGCCATTGTTTACTGTAGAGAGGAAATCATAGGAGAGTCGATAAAATGCAAATTAATTGCTTTTGGTATACCTGCACTCACTTGTCATCATAGTAAGAAAATTATTTTCTAAACCATTGAAATACTTTCAGTATTTACCTTCAAAGTATATCTCTGTATTTCATTATAGAACTGAATAATAGGAGTAGACGTAACGTAGAAAATGAATGGATATCTGGGAAGGCTAGTGTCATTATCACAACATACGATTATGGATTCATTCATAAGAAACCAATCAGGTATTGTGTGTTCAATGAATAAAAAAATACAACGAGTGTATAGTTATGAATGTCATGTATTTATTTAATCAGGTGTATTGTTTATTGGACTGTGCCTGAAAATATTTCCAAATACTATAGAAAGTCCGCAGAGGCTTGTATAGATAATAGTCGGGCATATTGCAGAATATATTTCAGTACGAAAGAATATTCTTCCATTAAGATGCTAATTGAGAACCATAGAATAATGAATGATCCAGAACATATCAAGAAACGATTAAGCGAATACAACAAACTTGTGTCGTATTGTCTTTCAGTGAAGTAAGAGGCTTAAATTACATTTATTCTCGCATATAAAAAAAGAAATTGCATATAAAATTATATTTAGATGCCGTCATGCAATGATCAGTGCGTATTTCGGGCGTGTGATCGAGCCTTGTAAAATAAACTGTGATGTCTGTGAAAACAAGGAAATGGTAGAAATCCGAACTTTTAAGTTCATTATGTATTCAAAAAGCATAGAGAACATTACGTACAACCTGTAAGTACATATGTACAGTTAGGGACAGAAATACTTGATAAAACGATGCTTCTCGTCGTTTTAGATATTTCGTTTCGAGATACATTTATCATAATCATTTTACCAATCCTTAGCTGCGATATTAAGGGGCATTCGGAAAAGGAACAATCACACGGCGATAAAGAGGAATCCGAAAAATCGGCGGGAATGGAATTTGGTGAATGTAAAATTACGCGTAGAGGAATTCTCGCGGACAAAATTAACAACGGGACGATTGTGCAATATACTGATAAGCAAAAAAGTAGTTCAGCTGATGGATGGTTGTTCGCAAAGGACTGTATTCAAGCGGGTACGCTGAAACGCGCGAAAGATAATTTAAACGTGGCGACAGGTGCTAGTAGACCGACGATAACGAGCTCTTTGCCGGCTGAACGCAATTCAAACAAAGAGATATCGCTGGAACCGTGCAGCTCCAAGACCAGCGTCCCCAGGAATTCGGCGGGAATAAATAGCGCTCAGGTTTCCCGAAGGGGAAGTGAATCGAAGAGGGAGTCGAGGATCAGAGATGCAAACAGCGACGCTGTACGGACGGTTGCGAAAGAGGATCGAATTTCGAGGAGCGATTCCGGCGAAGTGATTGTTGTCGCGGTGAATAAACGATGCGAAAAACGGAGCAACCACGCCGCCGCGATGGACAACACGTGTTCGTTAGAGTTCCAGTCAAAAAAACGGAAATTCGGTACTGAAAATAAAGCAATTGCCGCGACACGACCAAGGGACAAAAGGTGGGGGACTTCCGATCGGGATGAACGCGTCAAGGATGATGCAAATGAGAGCGTATCGCGCGGCTACGCGACGGCAGAATATTTGATGAATAAGTACAAATTGAACAGAGACGCAATAACGCTGAAACCTTGTAGAAAATGACGTCAGTTACCTGATGTTTTAACTAGTAAAAAAAAATATATAGAAAAGCACGCAGCCTCGAGGCTATTGGGAACATTCTAAATAGAATTGAGGACTATTTTCACACCTAATATAGAAAATTGTATAGATATAGTTATTAGCTAATATTTATCGTTATGTTAAATGGTGTCTGGAATCTAGGACGATATGTAATAATTAGTAGAGTTAATGCATTTATCGTGTCGTTATATAAAACTACACTTTATTAACACGGTGAATATTGTACAATTAGGATACGATCTTTAGAGTCGTTTTCGACATTACAAAAGAAAAAATCTTGTATTTTTTCCCGTTCTTTCAATGGATCGAACTGTATCGGCTGGACGTAAAGACCGAAGTAGGTCGACCCAGTCATACTGTTCATAAAACGTCAGACTTGCTCACCCACGCAACAGGTGATATCGGATGTACTATTGTGTCGCGGAGGATATACCGTCAGCCTTTTAGCAACATTGGTATTTACGTAGAGAACGTGTAGCATGACATAACTTTGTCAAATTTACTGAACTTACTGAAACTTACTACTTCATACGTCACAAAATATACGAAATTCACGGTGTGCTCGTAATTTTTTACAGTATTTCAATAACTGTCCGTGTCACCAACTATATACGAGGGCCTGAAGTGCATTAATGGAACTCAAGCACAGGGGGAAAGGAGGGGGCCAATCACCACTCTCCAAAAATAGGAAATTTTATTCACCTCGTGTACTCACCGGATTGTGGCGGGAGCAGGACGCGAGATCGTGATTCATCCGATCGTTCACCGGCGAACTGCTTTATCATCAATGGTACCCCGTCGCATCTCGATCTGGACCGAGGTGGCACTGTCGCCGCCGTGCACGTTACGACACGGAATTTCGTGTGTAACACCGAAAATATCGGCGCCGTTGGAACGCCAATAGGGGCCCCTCCCCACCCCTTCTTGGATTTCACCGACTGGGCAGAGCACAGGCGCGCTCGTTCCGTGTACCGTTGTCCGTCGTCGTGTCCACACACGGCAACCTGTTCGAGGGAACTCCCGACCGGCTGAAAACGAATCACTGGATGCCACGAAATAATCGAGCAGACCAGCCGAGAGCCGAAGAACGTAGCGGAAAAGAGGACTTCTCGCTGCTACGCGGCGGACAGCATTGCTTGGAGGCGCTCCGGACCGTACCGTGGCCGCACCTGTGTGCTCCCTCCTTCCAACCCTTCCTACACCTTTTCTCACTTTCTCCACGTTCCTCCTTTGGTCGGTTCTGGCAGTCCATCTCTGTTTTTGGGGACCGTGGGTGGGTCTCCACTGTGGGACTGAATACCGAAAATTTTCGACGTCTGTGGGAGACTGATCAATTTCGGAACATTCACTTTTCGGTGTTTTGTTTTTTTTTTTTTATGTTTTGTGGTAGTTGGTTTGCGGATTCTATGCGGATATGATTCCTTTGTGGACCAATTCGCGGAACATGTTATTAAGGAAATTGTCTGGTTCTAAATAGAATGAAACACGTTCGTATTTTGTTGAATTTTTTACTAGATCGAGTTTTTAGATAGTCGTATTTAATGGTATTTATTGAAATCAACACATTTTTTTCTAGAAGTATAGGTAATATTACACTTTGTATTTTACTGTAAAGTGTGTTTTGTTTTACATGAAAACCGTTGGAAGTATTATACAGTTCGTCCACTTTCCGTACCAGAGTTTATAATAATTTGTATTACGTATGAAAAGCCGAAGTATCGGCTCGAGGTATTTGTGGCGAAGACCGTGGAGTGGATATTACGGCTGTTGGGTACTAGAAGTATTAATGGTACAATATGAGAAAATTAAGTCTCGAAAAATACTTACAGTAAATACTTATACCAACAATTCCGGAAAGGTATGCTTCTGGTCTACAATTTTGTTATTTGGGTCATAAATGTTATCTGCCTGTTTTTAATGAAATTTTTCCAAAGACACTCCTATAATTAACGTTTATGTTAGCTTACTGTAATTGTTGTTTTTAATTTAAATTTTATTAGATTCTTTAGTAGAAAGAGAAATAATATCTGTGAGATAAAAATCAGCACAAGGTTGCCGACGTTAGCTCGAGTTACGTTCCCCCACTCTTGGAATTAAGATTGTTGTAATCTGCTGTCGGAGAAGTACCCCCGTGGTGATAGTGTACTAACTGAATTACAGCAAACGGAAATGGTATTAGTTTAAAAAAGGATTTTAATCGTAAGAACTGTTAATTACGGAAGTCATAATGCTCGTTAAGCTTCTTTTTCAAATGCTCCGTCAAGGTTATAGTTAAGATTTAATTTCTTGATTTTCTGTTTTAACAAAAACGTGTGAAACATACAGATGTATTGTTTACATGTAAGAATTAATATACACAGGAATGCGTACTTAAAGTTTTTTTTTTAGTGAGAAACAAAGTCTGAGTAACACTTTTGTGGATAATTTATGATCTGTACGAAACTTCCGTTGGTTTCTGTCGTTGTATGCATCATTCCATGCACACGCAGATGACTCGTGCACGTGTTAAGTACACATTAAGCAATAGAAAATCTTATATCTTATATCAATAGAAATATGTAGTAAATAAATATTTTTGTACTTGTACCAAGAATTAACAACTTAGCGTAATAGCATATTAGCATCCTAAAAATGGAACAATAGAGAATATTTAAGAGGATATACGATATTCAAGTTGTGGAGAACGCTTCGAGGGGGATACCGTGAATTCAAATGAACCGTAAGGCTATATAAACTATAGCCGGCATGACATGAAATATTAAATGATGAATTTGTATGCGCGAATGCGTTTGCATGGTCGTGATTGTTATTTTAATTTTGCGCCTGGCTTCCGTAGTGTGCTGATGTAGGATGATATTTCAGGAACTGTATTTTATCAAGTCTACCCAATATAATCGACGGATGACACGTTCGATGTAGTTAAAATTATAAAGAAAATAAAATCAATTTTTACTTCAACAGATGAGACAGTAAATATCATGTTGTTCCAAATGAATCTGTAAGGGTATGAATTATTATATTGTTGTATAGAATTTTTATGTAGTATAGAGGCTAATTAATGGAATAATTAGAAAGTATTGATTAAAAATTGTTGAACACATTAAAGTAGATCAAATAGTGTTTAAAAAAAAAAGTAAAATAACAGAAAGGATTAGAGGAAGTCTTTGGATGTGATGGCCTCATGCACTTAGTCTGTGAGAGGAATTCAAGGAATGATACTGTATAAGTGTCACAGAAAAAAGAAAACTCTGAATAGTTCCATTAAGTGTATATTGAACTCTTCGAACATCATTGGTAACATTTACTTGTGTAATATACATAAGTTGGAAATAAACGTACACCTGGTAATCACGTGTACGGATGTTCAACGTGCAGTGTCTGGTTCTGTTTTGTAAATTCGTAAAATGTGGCAAACGTGTGACACCATTTGTTTTTGCGTGAACATTTAAAAGTGCGCAAGGACAGAGCAAAACCTGTTCTAGGTACCAAAGGATTAATTTCAGTGTGTTGTCTTCATGAGTACGGATTATAAAATTACGTTAAAGTCAGACGCATACTTTGTTCTTTTGGCAGAAAATATAATATACAATGTATATATAAGACGTGTGTTAAAAAAGAATCGATAATGAAATTAGTGAGAATGAAAATATCTCATTCAAAAATCAGTAAGAAAATATGTATATACATGTATATATATATATAGGTTTATGTAAGTATATATAAATATATTAATATCAAAATGAAGAATATTATACGAGTGATGATCTCATATATTTTATGATTATACCTTGCTCGTCGATTGTTTAGCATTTATATATATATATTTTTTTTTGTAACAT